TTTCAGCTAGAGTATAACAATCTATATGTCCAACAATACAAAATAGATAAAAATTGTAAAAAGTTATTCATGAATGTCAAACTACAGACTGCATCCACCTCAACATACGGCACCAGGAGGGAGCGTCATTTAGCTCAGTTCTGCAAACAAGCAAACAAAAAAGAAGAGAAGGGTGACAGGGCTGGGGGGCAAGGGGGCAGAGGGCAGAGGGAGGGAGAAGGGAGGGGGGCGCAAGTAACAGTGCACGTCAATCCATAACAATGTGGGAAAAAAATTGAAATCTAATGGATAATTGTGGCTCCTGAAGGGTCACATGTACTTACAAGAGGTCAAGGTCATCCAAGGCGAATGAATTTGTAAGGGAAGGAAAGAGAAAAAATTACATGTAGCAGTATGACACATCTTCAGAAGTTTTTTTTTTTTTTTTTTTTTTTTTTTGTGCACTTTCTCCCTATATTCTCAAAGAAATGTTTCACATCCATCCAAAAGAAGGAAACATCATCTGATGTATGAGAAAGAGAGAAAGACAAGTACAGACAGACAGAAATAGAGAGAGAAAAATAACAATTGTAATCTGCCCCTTTTTTTTTTCTTTTATGGCTGATGAATTTCTTCAAAAAGTGCCCAAAAGAGGAGTGAATGAATACACAGCACAAGAATAAATAAACACAGATGAAGAAATAAGTCTACAGAGAGAAAAGTGAATGAGAGAAAACAATTAGGGGCATATGTACACAGATGTGTTTAAAAGCCCACAAACATTATATTAATGGTAATACATTCAAATACATAAACCTTTAGTACTGCAACAATGAGAAGGGACCCAGATAATAAAAAGAAACAAACTGTGAATAATCCTTCTACTAATAAAATCATAAAATTATGCTCTCCAGATTTTTTTTTTTAAGATATTAACTGGCTTCCTTCTATTATATGTGAATATAGCATAAAGTTCACCAGTCAAAATATGACACTTCAAAATTGGAACATGTATAAATGGCTTTCAGTAATGTGCTTTTCTATATATGTATATATATCATAAACATAAAAATCAAATCATGAAAAACTACTTTCTCTACATAAATGGAGTAACTAAAAACAAATTCTGAATTTTTTAAAATTCAAATTGATAATATCTACGGAATCAAATTATTGCATAAAAAGACCAAAATTTGCTTTTTTATTTTTTTCTTTGTGTTGCCACATACCAAAAAGATGTGTCTGTGTCTCATTAACTCAAGTACAATTAGTCAAAATTTAAGGACAGAAAAATATATGAAAAAGTAAAAAAATAAATACACAAAAAATATTGAGACAAAACCCACAGCTGTGCTTACAAAAAAAAAAGGATTCCACATGTACAAACAAAAAAAGTAAATGTAGGAAAACATGATAACTGTTTGATACCAATTAAAATCATAAAATAAAAAAGGAAGGAATATTCATAGAAAATAATGTGGCAACACTTTTCTCAGTGAGAAGTGGCATGTACCAATAACCACAAAAGGACATAGCTCTTACAGTCAACTGTTTCTATACTACTGAGTTGCGTCTACTTCATGCTTTTAGCGGAAAGCCACTACTTTGGCATTACTACTTTAGGCCTACATGAGAAACGAGCACCAAACAAAAAGACAGGGAGCTTAGCTTTGCTTGGATAACTTTCTCTATGTGTTGTGAAGATTGCAATATAAACTTAAAAGTATGTGGATATACCTGGAAAAATATAGAGCAACAATAGTCAGTGGATTTTTTCTTTCCTTTTTCTTTCTTTCTTTCTTTGTAATTTTCTTTGCTGCATCATTCACAAGGATCAGTTTTGAATGATTCTGGTATTGCCATCTTAGGGCAAAAAGCATACCTCGTCTCTGACAAAACTGGTCTTTCATTTTACGTAGAAAAGATCTTGAATTAACGTAAAATAAACTAAAAAAAATACATTAAGTCAACCTT